CAAAGTCCCAATATCCCAAAGTCCCAATATCCCAAAGTCCCAATATCCCAAAGTCCCAATATCCCAAAGTCCCAATATCCCAAAGTCCCAATATCCCAAAGTCCCAATATCCCAAAGTCCCAATATCCCAAAGTCCCAATATCCCAAAGTCCCAATATCCCAAAGTCCCAATATCCCAAAGTCCCAATATCCCAAAGTCCCAATATCCCAAAGTCCCAATATCCCAAAGTCCCAATATCCCAAAGTCCCAATATCCCAAAGTCCCAATATCCCAAAGTCCCAATATCCCAAAGTCCCAATATCCCAAAGTCCCAATATCCCAAAGTCCCAATATCCCAAAGTCCCAATATCCCAAAGTCCCAATATCCCAAAGTCCCAATATCCCAAAGTCCCAATATCCCAAAGTCCCAATATCCCAAAGTCCCAATATCCCAAAGTCCCAATATCCCAAAGTCCCAATATCCCAAAGTCCCAATATCCCAAAGTCCCAATATCCCAAAGTCCCAATATCCCAAAGTCCCAATATCCCAAAGTCCCAATATCCCAAAGTCCCAATATCCCAAAGTCCCAATATCCCAAAGTCCCAATATCCCAAAGTCCCAATATCCCAAAGTCCCAATATCCCAAAGTCCCAATATCCCAAAGTCCCAATATCCCAAAGTCCCAATATCCCAAAGTCCCAATATCCCAAAGTCCCAATATCCCAAAGTCCCAATATCCCAAAGTCCCAATATCCCAAAGTCCCAATATCCCAAAGTCCCAATATCCCAAAGTCCCAATATCCCAAAGTCCCAATATCCCAAAGTCCCAATATCCCAAAGTCCCAATATCCCAAAGTCCCAATATCCCAAAGTCCCAATATCCCAAAGTCCCAATATCCCAAAGTCCCAATATCCCAAAGTCCCAATATCCCAAAGTCCCAATATCCCAAAGTCCCAATATCCCAAAGTCCCAATATCCCAAAGTCCCAATATCCCAAAGTCCCAATATCCCAAAGTCCCAATATCCCAAAGTCCCAATATCCCAAAGTCCCAATATCCCAAAGTCCCAATATCCCAAAGTCCCAATATCCCAAAGTCCCAATATCCCAAAGTCCCAATATCCCAAAGTCCCAATATCCTAAAGACCCCAAATTTCAAAATTCACACCCTAAATATTCTCAATCCCAATATGCTACCTTAGAAATACTGATTTCTGCAACCAACTAATTACAATGCGTATTCTAAAAGCGAATAAACATTTTTCCTTCGCATATGTAATTAAATCTCTGGCTGAAATTAATAACATAACAAAATTTGTCACGAAACGATTACTACGCCCTCCCCCTAACAATAACCTGGCTGTCCCCATATTTAAAAAACGAATCTTTGAATCATTAGGTCATGTTATCAAGAATTTCCATCGAATCGGTGACAAAAGAAATATGCTGCACTGTACAATCTCACGCTAGGGAGAACACGTATGATCGAACTTCAGCAGGGAGGGCATATAGTGTTGCAAGGAATACATATAGGCAACGACGACAACGAATGGTGTACTTTTGGGCCCAATGGCATTTCTTTGTTTCTGTTCTGTATTCCAGAGTGCATGATGGACGACTGGAGCACCAGTGCCATCTTCTGGAAGTAGGAGGCACCGGTGGCGGCCGCTGAAGGTAACTTCGACTTCCAGGAGATAGCTAGCTTCCTTCCAGTACCTCTATTCTTCTTCTTCTCCGCAAATCGGCAGAAGGAGAACCTCTCTATGAGAAAAACGAAAGAAAAGAAACGAATTTTCCTCTCTCATCACGCCATCACCGCTGATTCAGCCAGCACAGCTCGCCGCAAAGTTCATTTTGCTGCTCGCTAGTGTTTGACCCACGAATCCTCGGCATTCCTTCACGAATCCACCCTTTTCCCTTTTATCCAATTTCTTCACTCGACGCGCGGCCGACATTTGTCCGTCCGAACCAGAATCCAAATTCCGAGCAGAAGAGAAAAATAATTTCGAGGCTTATCAAATTTTTTCGCTCAGCGTTCTTCCTGTTTTTTTTTTCTTTTTTTTTTTGGTCACGGTCGGAATTCGATCAAACGGACCTCGAAATTTCCGTCGCGACTCGTTTTTCGTGTTTCAATTTTCGAAGCAATTATTCCGTAATTTCGTCGCCGAAATCTATTTCAGACAAATTACCGCCTATTCGGTTTTTTATGCGATTCGATTCGTTTGAACATAACGCGCGTTCACCGAAGACCTCTTTCCGTTTCGTCGATCCCAATCCATTTCCAAAAGAGAAAAAAAAGATAAAAAAGAACGGATACACGATGCGATACATTGTAAGGTATTATAAATAATGTTGTGCGTGTCCACATGCGTGAACTTTTATTTAGTAGCCGTAAACTTGTCGTTCGTGTTTTTTGCTCTAGTTATTACACACCGGCGTCATCACACTGTTGGAACCTCGTTATGACGGTATCAGGGTGGACGCTCTTAGAATCCCCATTTTTGCCCTGATTATTAATTTCGCTGTTAAAAAACAAGTAGCAAGCTTGAGACATAAATAGAACACTCATCTCAGAGCGTCTACCAACCGTAATAATACAGATAACCTCCTGTTTTTGTTTTGAAGGCCGAATATATCGTGCACCTCGTTACGTCCAAGTCCCATAATTAATTCAAGTCCTAGTCTTTTACCTCTACCTGTTCGTATGGGCAACCACCTTAAGCGTATATATTATACATTTATATATATCTATATATATCTATATATATATACTGCTCTTTACAGCTATGACCATAAAATAGTGGCTCGCTCGTTGGATGTGTTGTCTCGTTCGTTGTCGATGTGTTTTTTATCACCTTTGTAAATATTTTCTGATTATGATGTCAGCTACGTTTATCTTATTGTATTACTTAGATATTGATTCTATATGAAAATTTTTCATCCCCTCTGTCCGTCCTATCCGCAACACCGTCTCCGCCAAATATCTTTTCACGAGTTCCTATCGATCACCTCTTTTGTCACGTAGTCCCGATCAATCTTGCACACTCACGATTAATTTATTATGATTATTATTATACAGGGATACACGTACACACAGGATCTACACATTCAGTGCAGATATTTCTAAAAGGCATTCAAGTTTGTCGATTGACAAATTATTGGCTTACCGTCACGTAATACGTGATCAAAACGAAAAAAAGGAATTTAGATGATTACGAAGTCGCTAAACTTTGAAGAAGTATTTAGTTCGGAGGTGAAGCTCCTCTTCGTGTTATAATCTTTCTAGAGAACACAGTTTGTACTATATAAAAATTTGATAGATATAACATTTCACAATTTTTATAATATTTTATACTTGCCCTTCAAGAATCTGGTTTATAAATTCTATATAAAAATTTTATAAAAATAATATTTTATAATATCAACAATATTTTAATTTTTCTGAAAGGATACGATTTTTTACTATTACGTAAAAATAGGGCGAAAATGATATTTCATAATATTTGCAATATTTTTCATTTTTCTTTAAACAGTGCAATTTCTGAATACCATGTGAAAATTTAGTAAATATTTTATCATTTTTGCAGTAATTAAAATTTTTCTTAAAAAATACAGTTTTTAAATATTATGCATAAATTTCATAAGGTTGGGGTTTTATATTTAATATTTTTTCTTGATGAGCACAAATTTTGCATAAAAACTTAACAAACGCAATATTTTACAATTTCTCTAATAATTAATGTTTGTTTCTAAAAAGCATGCTATATAATATAATTAAAGTTATTTTTGAAAGAGAGTAATTCTCAAATATTATATAAACAATGAATTACAATTTTTTAAATATATATAATTGTATTATCTGAATTAAAGTAACGTTAGGGATTTTATAATGAGAATTAAAAAAATATTAGGGTTTCATCAATGATCATAGAAATTCCTTACAAATAAATTAACAATAAATTATAACTCGAAGAAAAAAATACCTCCTCCGAGATTTTCGTCTTCGACACCTTCAAAGTTTAGCGAAAAAATAATTTTGTACGTTTATGCCCATGCGATAAAAAACGGCAAGGAAAGCTAATCAGGCCCAGATATGCTCCATGAAATGATAAATGACATCGCAATAATAGGTCGATACCATTCATTTGTCATTCTCGTGCACAAGTTAGAAATAGCTGCAGATTGTTGAAAGAAGAATTGTTAAGTGGCGTGTGACCCTTTATAAGCGATATGTTGACCTCAGCACCACGCGGAACGCCCATTGATGATCTCTGAAAATAAATAAAAATTTTCTGTATCAATATTTGAATAAATTCTTTTGTAAATACGAAAGATATCATCATCGGGAGTTCCGCCCGTAGTTGAGTCGCTTGTACGCCCCATCCGGTTTTATACGCGAATCCCGTTTTTTCTCCATCTGTTTCTTCGGCTTGTGGCGTAGGATGTAGGATTGAAATTGATTGGATTACTTTTGATTTCCTTTGTTGTCGTTACTTTATCACCTTACAACTTCCCGTTGAAATACATATACATTATCGTCACTGTCACACGTGTACGTCGTGTTACATACTGTTACCGATGTCAGTATTACGAATGATATTTTCGTATATTTGTCATTTTTTTATCCGTCACACTTCTATCTGTAACCGTGAACGCATATGTGTATACATAAATATAGTAACCGCAATTTTCTTCAGATTGTCATTTTTTAATTGAAAGCCGATTGTGGCTGCGTGTAAAGTAACGCGAAATCATATATGTATATATCTATATGCGTACAGGTATATATATAGATATACATATATATGTGTATTTATTACCCTACCCCCCCTTCCCCTTAGGATGGTGGATGCTGGTGTAACCGTGTAACTTTGTCGTTTTCGGTGTTAGCCGCAAAATCTCTTTTAATGCCTAAATACCGCTATTAAGCGAACATGGCTCGTTCTTAAACCACCGACTAACGTGTTTCTTTGTTTTTTTTTCTCTGTTCTCCCTGTTTCGACACGCGGCCGACCCGCAGACAGAAAGCTGTTCGTGGGAATGCTCAGCAAGCAACAAACCGAAGACGATGTCAGACAGTTGTTCACTGCCTTTGGCACAATAGAGGAGTGTACCATCCTCCGTGGACCTGACGGCAGTAGCAGAGGTGAGTACCTTTATCATTCACTTATTTTCATTCATAAAACATTCTTGTGATTGACAAATTTTTTAGGTATTTCACACGACAAATTAACCCTTAAATAACGTCATCCTTTGTTACAAGTATTTGACGATAATTTTAAAAGTTTTGCAAATATTTTACTTGGTCTTTGAGCACTCTTCAAAAATAATTTCATTCTTCGTAATTGATAGCAATTTTCAATGAACCTGATTCTGACAGTACTCAGCTTTTGTTTGATATTCTGTCAAGGGTATAAAATTAATTATAGCTAAGTGATATTCCCCGTATAATGATTGACTAGTACAAATATAAAGTGATACATCATTCAATGTTTACAACATATCCAGACATGAGTGACATATTTGCGACATATTCAAACAAGAGTAACATGTACACATCATACAAATATGTGTGACCTTTGGTCCACGCTATTAATTTATATGTACTGAATTTTTACGTATTTCTCTATTAAAAGTTCGTAAAGAAATTAGTGACTTAAAACAAGATATAAAAAAGTGAATATTGTCGTTCAACAAAGACTCTTACCACTCACGAAAATATCAAACAAAAACAGGATGTTAATTAAGGGTTAAGTTCCCCAAGCCCTCGAGTGAAGAATACTCGTAGCACGAGGAGAATCAAACGCTCGGGTCATATAGGCCTTAAAAGCCTAAGAGCAAGGTTGAAGCTAAAGGTAAGTCACGTCCGGAGAATTAATCATAAGGCGGTGCAAGAAGAGGTGGTCTCAAAGGAAGAAGCCAATTGCCTCGGAGAGGTTTCTCGCAAACCTGATAATAACGGCTGAAGTTAAACGAAAAAGAAAACGAACAAATACAGCAGGGTGGTTCGTTCGAAAATTTGCTGCTATCATTGCTATGTTTACGGCTGACCTAGCTAACGGGAACTTGATTCACGGATCGGTAAAGGTTGTTTCTGGAGTGATGAAGAACTGGCAGAAGAAGGGGGGTAGGTAACTCGAGAAAGTTCAGATGGGGAAAGGCAATAATTTCCGCTGGACGAGCCGGTGAAATTTAAATATTTTCGTATAAAAATGAAGACCGTGAGTAATAGGATGCCGGTCGAGTTTCTGCGAGATTTAAGAGCGAGAGAGGAGGAGTAATCGAGCAAAACGAAAGAGGCCGAGACATAAATAGGGGAAACAAGGTGTGGAGAGGAACAGAGAACCGGCGGGCGAAGGAGAAAGAAAGAGAGACGAATGAAGTTATCAGGACGCAAAGAAAGGGGAGAAGCGTAAGCAGCCGGGCTGGGCGTGAATGTAATTAAATTCCAGCTCGAAGTAAAACTCACTTTCAACAGTTAATAAGATTTTGATTCGTAGCCGGTTACGTAATATGGCACCCATCGTCTTTGGCAAGCGCCGAAGATTTGCAGCGTGAAGGGAAACGATCGTAAGAAGGCTGAAAACAGTGCTCGTCTCGAAAAAGACCCTTACGACGTTCGCAGACTCCTCTGCTTCGAAGATCGAATCCAACCCCCCACACCCTGTTTCGCTTCTCTGTTTCTCGTTCAACCCCTGTCGTTGCCTACCGGGTCTTTACAGTCTTTGTCGAAAAACGACGCGATGTTGCGCTCTCTTTTCAGGCTCTTTAATTAAAATCACACGAACGCAAAACATCATTGCTACGGATCGGCTAGGGACATTTCGCCGGTTGCCTGCAAGGATTGCCGGCAATTTAGACGTCGACGCTTGTTTCGCGACAAAAGAACGCTGAATGCGACGCAGACGTGATCCGTGATTGAAAACTTTCCGAGAAAATTGATTCCAACGGTGAATGAAATGGCCGACACTCGAACCGTTTTATCCCTTCGTAGTCAAATAATTAGGAGTAGTTCCGAGAAAACGAAATCTTATTCTTGTTGAAATTTTAGCTTCATATTAGTTTAGATATAAATGTAATATCAGTGATTTTGGTATTACTTTTCATACAATATTTTCGTCATATTACCTTTATGCTTTAATATGAAATTAAAGTATAACTATATAAATATTAGGTTACTGTTCATATTTATTATTCATAATCATCACTATAATTTTTGACGTTATTAATCTAATTTTGAGGTTATTTTTAATCATTGTTACAAACGCAAAACAATTTATCGGTCATCTTGAACATATGCGCAGTAATGTATGCGCAGTGATATTCAGACAATAAATGAGATAGAATGTAATATCTTTACTGCGCATAATTATTGTGTCACGACTGCGCATGTTTTATAGACAAGATTATTTTACCATTTCTTTAAGAAAAATTAAAATATAGTTTCTTTAAAAATTGTAAGTACCTAACAGCTTTAATATTTACGTATAATTTTGCTTTCTTATATTATTGATACAATAACCAATAAATTCGGTACTTAACATCAGCAACATTGTAACTAGCTTATACTAATCTTACATTTATAACATAAATATATTTCCTCATTTTTTCAATATTATTAAATAGTCTATTATTTAGGAAATAATCAAAAGTTACAATGTGATAAAATTATTAAATTATACATTTTAAGTAATATATGTTAAAAATTTGTAATTTTATCATATAATCTATTTTATCTAAAAGAAATGCATTCAAAAAAACAACACAAGAATTCAAAATATTTATAAAAATCCACAAATAATTGCAAAAAGAATCTTAATCCATTTATTTCTATTTACTAAACGTTATCGAACATTGGAATATCAAGTTCATCGGAGGAAATAAGTTTCCGTTAACAGGTTTAATTGCAACCCTCCTTGAACGTTTGTAATCGAATTTCTACGATGTGGATACACCTCCAACAAGAAAGTGTTGATCGCTTATTCCGTGCTACTCTACCGTTACATCCCTTGTCCTGGTTCTGTCCTGGTGAAAACTTTCCGAACAAGCTTCATCACTGCTCGTCCGGGCTCGCTCGAGTTTCATAACTAGCTAATCCGCGACGTAATAGAGAGATCAGGAAGATCTCCCCTCTGCGACTTCATCTGTATATCGCTTTAGGTCTACCACGACAACCAGCAGAATTACAGGGATGACGTATAGGAGTGGATATGAACCTTATTTCGATATCAGGCGACAGGATGTAGAATTTGGAGTTCTCTGCCCAATGTCTCATTTATTTGCGACAGAGAGAATTAGTGCTATTGAAAGAAATTAGTACTTCCACGGATATTTTCGTAGATGTTTAAAGATATTTTTATACATTAACGTTTTTGAATTCTGGAAGAATTGTCGAACTTTTTAATTTTATATTTAACTAATTTTTAAGCTCGCAAATTTCCAAATAATCAGTTATTCAAATTTCCAAATTCCCAAATTTCCAAATTTCCAAATTTCCAAATTTCCAAATTTCCAAATTTCCAAATTTCCAAATTTCCAAATTACCAAATTTCCAAATTTCCAACTTTTCAAACTATGAAATCCCTAAATTATGAAATTTCCAAATTATCAAATTTTCAGATTTCCAAATTTCCAAATTTCCAAATTTCCAAATTTCCAAATTACCAAATTTTCAAATTTCCAAATTTCCAAATTTCCAACTTTCCAACTTTCCAAACTATGAAATCACCAAATTATGAAATTTTCAGATTTCCAGATTTCCAAATTTCCAAATTATCAAATTCCCACATTAGCAAATTTCCAAATTTTCAAATTTCCAAATTTCCAACTTTCCAAATTATTAAATTTCCAAATTACCAAATTTCCAAATTTCCAAATTTCCAAATTTCCAAATTACCAAATTTTCAAATTTCCAAATTTCCAAATTTCCAACTTTCCAACTTTCCAAACTATGAAATCACCAAATTATGAAATTTTCAGATTTCCAGATTTCCAAATTTCCAAATTATCAAATTCCCACATTAGCAAATTTCCAAATTTTCAAATTTCCAAATTTCCAACTTTCCAAATTATTAAATTTCCAAATTATCAAATTTTCAAAGTCCTAAATATTTAAACCTGCAATCATCAAATTTTCAAATCCTCAAATCCTTCAAATTACTTAATTGTTAAAGAATTCCATAAATTTTCAAACCCCCAAATATTTAAATTTCTAAATCTGTAAATTTTGAAATCTCCAAGTCTTCACATCCTCAGATCAAATTCTAAGACTTGGTGGATTAAGATTTTCAAAATATTATTTAGGGAATGTCCTTGACATGTATAAAAATTATTAAAAGCAGGATGTGCATATATTTCATAATTACCTAAAGGGTTATAATATAGTATAATATATTATTATAATATAATATATACTATAATATAGTATAGTAGGGTTATTATAACATATTGAATCCTCGATACGTCATTCAGAATGGGTCTAACAACAGTAGTCATAGACCTGTAACAATCGATCAACACATGGCGGGCTGAAAAGTAACGATGAACGGTAACATTGTTAGGCAACATTTCTGGGAATTACAATAATCCGGGAAAGTTATTGACAGTCCCTTCATTGTTCTCAAACAACTTCCCTTATCGGATGATACTACCCTAGATTGGTAGTTGGAAGGGTAGCGGAAGACTTCTCGGTAACGAGGAGTTTAAGAAGGGAACTCGGTTCGACGACTTTATGGAAAGACACGACGACGGTTGTCTTCGTCATCGTTCAGACGGTCCGCATTCCTCCGACGTCGTAGTAACGACAGACTCTTCGTCCAATTATTTTTCCCTCGCTTCGAAACATTTCAACACCACTTCAGCGAAAGAACTCGTTCTATTTTCTCGTTTCCACGCCAACCTTTCGTCGCCTCGCCTCGTCTTCTTTTCCATTCTCCGTCTTCCGACTCCGTTTCTCGATGTGTACAAAAGTACCAAGCCCCCTAACACGGATCCCGAATTCGCATTATTTCAATTGTGCGAGCTGCAATAATTCACCGTGCTAAGAAGATTATAAAATGTTTATGAATAATGGAACGAAATATTATTCGGAACGGGACCAAGGGTTCTCTTCAGCTATACACCAACACCGAAGCTAATGATGCCACC